ACAGTAAATTAATGGACAGAAATTTGATGGAACGGAAACTTGGTCGAATCTTTTTTTTTTTTTTTTTCAGTTCACGCGTTAAAATTTTCGTCAAATTTCTTTTTGAACGCACTCTACTATATGGTCAGACAAAATAATGCGTTCAAAAAGAAATTTGAAGCACAATTTTAAAGTAAAAACTGAAAAAAAGATTCGACCGATTTTTCGTTCGATCAAATTACCGTCGACGAAATTTCTTTTGATCAAATTTCTGGATACGAATATAAAAATGATTTTTTTTTTAAATTTAAAAACTCTTAAATAAAAAAAAAAAGTTCTGATTTACTTTTTTGTTTAAAGTGGGGTGTCTAATTTTGATGGTTCCACCTGTCTGTTCTTCTCTTATCACATTCATGTATTTGTTGTTGTTGTTGTATGTTGCTTTTTGTTGTTTGTTTCTTTTGTTAACTTCCAGCCCTACGTATACTGATGCGTCTTCTAATTCAATAAAAGCTTTGGATATACCGGGTATATATTTAAACTATCCCTTGATTAGAAAGGTTCAATTTTTTTATTTTTTTTAAAATATATATTTTAATTCGTATAACCTTAACGACTAACAAATCACCAGTAACGACGGCATGTCTCTAAACTTCTCTGTTTCATACTACATTTTATCGGCATCGTCTGCTAATAGAATTAACCACAGGTTCAAAAAAAAAAAAAAAGTTTTAAAAAATCTCATGATGGCATAATTTCCAGGTGCTGACAACTCTTTGACCAGTCGGGATGCCGTGACAACCCCTGAATCGACCATTAGCGTGGAGTCAATCAGGACCAGCGAAGGAAGGTAATGAAACAGTTATCGGGACTCGGATATGACTTTGCTTTACACTCTCAATTTTTGTTCGTCTATTTTGGTTTGGTAAGTCACCAAACTTTGCTGTTCCTCAAAGCTTTTCGAACAAAACGGAAGAGATGGGCTCCCGCTGTTACCCTATAACCCACCACCTCCCCCACCTCTTTTTCCACTCTGCTCCCCCTCCACCCCCCCCCCCCCCNTTACACTCTCAATTTTTGTTCGTCTATTTTGGGTTGGTAAGTCACCAAACTTTGCTTTTCCTCAAAGCTTTTCGAACAAAACGGAAGAGATGGGCCCCCGCTGTTACCCTATAACCCACCCCCTCCCCCACCTCTTTTTCCACTCTGCCCCCCCTCCCCCCCCCCCCCCAATTGCCGGTTTCTTATTATGCCATTTTTAGTGAACCATCGCATTGGAGAACTTAAAAAAAGAAGGAACGCAACAAACACAGGTTCTCTCCTCGTTTGTTCTACTCATTTCCTTTTTTTTGCGAACCTGATTGCAGCCCGGTCTCTCCTCCTTATTATCATTGACATTTTTACCAGTACATCAACTACAAACAACATATCTACACTATTATGTCTGTTTGTTTCAACAGTGTCGGCAATTCATTCTTCAGTTTTACATCCAACAAAATATTAAAAAGCATCCCAATACCTGAATGGCGTGTCGCAGACGTTTAGGCAGAGGCGTAGCGAGGGTGTTTGGCACCCGGTGACAAGATTCGCGCCCGGGGACAAGATCCATTTTAAAACGCCCCTTTTCTTTTTTTCAACTCTCAAACACATTATTTTTACCAAGAATATAACAAAGCACATCTTGGCGCCCCTAAATAGCTTTCGCCCGGGGACATCTGAACCCCCCTGCCCCCTCTCGCTACGCCTCTGCGTTTAGGTGTTCTTGTTTCCGGTACAGGTTTCACCAGATTTTGAGTTTGAATACTGCCGACTTCCTAACATAACCATCGACGTATTACTGTTGAGTGTGTTCATATATATTCCAGCCAATCCTCAAACTGCGACAGTGTCTCTGAACTAACCTTCCCAGAATTCAAGCACAGCCACTCGGACAACATGGGATCACTCTCTGACGCATCTGATCAGCTCATGGACAGAAGGTGAGGAATGTGGCATGTGACATAACATAGGTCTAAAACGTGCGGTGCTCTTTTCATTTTATAGATAGACGTGTCATATTTGTGCCAGCCTGTCAATTTTTGAGGCGCCTATCAAAGTTTATGTCACCCATGTCAGTTTTTAGGTCACCCAATACCTTTGTGTATCACCCTGTCAATGTGTGTGTGTCTCCGTATAGTTTGTAGAACTTCAGTTCATAATTTGTACCCTATGTCTATTTTCTCCTTTCGAGTCCCATCCCCCTTATTTTACCCTCCCTTATTTGGTCCTTCCTTCTTTAGGTCACCCTTTTTTATTATAGGTCCCCTTTATTTCTTATAGGTCCCCCTTCTTCCTTATAGGTATCCCTTCTTTCTTACAGGTTTCCATTCTCTCTTTTAGGTCCCCCTTCTTTCTGTTCGTCCCCCTTCTTTCTTATAGGTCCCCCTTCTTTCTGTTGGTCCCCCTTCTTTCTTTTAGGTCTCCCTTCTTTCTTTTAAGTTCCCCTTCTTTCTTTTAGGTCCCATTTCCTTCTTTAGGATACCCTTCTTTCTTTTAGGTCCCCATTCTTTTGTTTAGGTCCGGCTTCTTTCTTTTAGGCCCCCTTCTCTCATTTAGACTCTCTCTTTCTTTTAGGCCCTTTTTTCTTTTAGGCCCCCTTCTCTCATTTAGACTCTCCTTTTATTTTAGGCCCTTATTTCTTTTGGGTCCCCTATTTTGAGGTCCTCTTTCTTTGACCCAACTTCTATGACATCATTTTGAGCCCAAATTTGACCACCTTTTGTTTTCATTTCTAAACTTTGACCCCTCTCCCACCTTTTTCTTTAACTCCTATGTTTTAACCCCCATTTCTTTGACCCCTTATCTTTAACACTTTCCTTCTTTGACCCACTTCTTATTTGACCCTATTTCTACTTTGACCCCTTCCTTCTTTGACCCCTTTCTTTCTTTGACTCCTTTCCTTCTTTAGCCCCCTTTCATTCTTTGACCCCAGTTCCTATTGACCCCATTATTACTTTGACCCCAATTCTATTCCCCTTCCTTCTTTGAACAATAACTTTTTTGACCCCCCGGCCTTCTTTAACCCCCCCCCCTCTTTCCATGACTTCATTTCCATTAACCCCTTCTTTCTAAGACCCCCTTCTTTCTGTGACCCCCTTCTTTCTATGGCCCCCTTCTTTCTAAGACCCCCTTCTTTCTAAGACAAGACCCCTTTCTTTCTAAGACCCCTTTCTTTCTAAGACCCCCTTCTTTCTAAGACCCCCTTCTTTCTAAGACCCCCTTCTTTCTAAGACCCCCTTCTTTCTATGACCCCCTTCTTTCTATGACCCCGTTCTTTCTATGACCCCGTTCTTTCTATGACCCCCGCTCTTTCTATGACCCCCGTTCTTTCTATGACCCCCTTTCTTTCTATGAACCCCTTCTTTCTAGGAGCCCCCTTCTTTTTGTGACCCCTTTCTTTCTATGACCTTCTTCTCCTGTGACCCCCTTCTTTCTATGAGCCCCTTCTTTCCGCCTTCTTTCTTTGACCGACTTCTTTCTTTGACCCGCCTTCTTTCTTTGACCCGCCTTCTTTCTTTGACCCGCCTTCTTTCTGTGACCCACCATCTATCTTGGCTCTTATACATTTTGACTCTGATCTTTTCAGCTCAACATTGCCTCCTCAGTCCCCACCTCCTTCGTGGTGTCGGGCAGAACACGCCAGTAAGGAAAAACAAAGAAGGTAAACATAGCATATGAAGTGTTCATACTCAAATTTGTTGAGATTTTACCATCATCGGTGAAGAAGGGGGACAGGGTGGACAGCTGTCCTCGGGCGCCAGCTAGTTAGGGGCGCCGAGATGTGCTTTGAAATTATTTTGATGAAAATAATTGGTTTTCAGAGTTTGAAAAAAAAAGAAGGGGGCGCTTTAAAATGAATCTTGACCCCCCGGGCGCGAATCTTGCCTTGGACGCCAAACACTTCAGCTACGCCTCTGCACTACAGTCAATGTAGGGCCCTGGCGTGCCAAACCACATCCTTCCATTCGGTTCGATCTATCGCTTTCCGCCCGCAACTGGTGTAAGAACTACTCTGCGTTGTCAATCCATCTCAGTCTTTGTCCACCGGTGCGCCGTCTGCCCCTAGGTTTCCCGCCTGTCGATCACTTTTGCTGCTCCACAACCCGGCCTCCTCTCAAGGTGTCCTGCCCAGCGTAAATTGCTGCTACTGTGGCGGGGTCTTTTCGTTCAATGGATATATATCTTGGTTTTTACGGATTCTCCATCCATTATCCATCATTGCCTAACACTTGGACCGTATACTTTCGTGAGGATTTTACTCTCAAGTGTTGAGTAGGTTCTCTGCTTTTCTGGTAAGGTAAAAAAAAATAAAAAATTAGGCTATCACTTGCATAAATTACAACGTGTCTCACGGTAGTGTTATGCCCATATGTTTAGGCCTGATTATAGCGACTACCCCTTGTCGCCCTTCTGTTTTCGCTTTGATATTGACGTCGCCGAGTTGATGTGTTGTCATTTCGCATATGGGACGTTATATAATTGTTGTAAATGTAAATTATTTGTATTTTGGAGAAGTCAGTGGCGTAGCGAGGGTGTTTGGCGCCCGGGGACATCTGTCACCCCTGCCCCCACCACGCTACGCCTCTGGGAGAAGTGCACCCTTTTCACTTGCTGTTCTGTAATTAAAGATAGTGTTGTTTTTTTTATTGTTCATTTGATTTTTCTTTTTAAATAGCATTTAAAAAAATTAATATTGTTTATATAGCTTTGGTATCGTTTTCTTTACATACCATTTTTCTCAGTCCTGTTACGAGCCAAATCTTAAAACAGATGAAATCTTCAAAACCATAAAGGTATAAGTAACGAGTAGTGTACATTGCCTTTGTTCTCCTCGGGAGTTTTTTTTTTTTGGTGTGCTTCTTAGTAGTTTAGGTATGTGCTGAAATAAGAACGGTTGCCTGCTGTTATCCTTGCTTTCAACTCCGTCATCATTTCATTGTACTCATTCATAGTAGCCACTAGATATTTGAAGTAGTCTAGCCACATTCTCAAAGGTGTGATTGCAACATGCTAAAAGTATTGAAAATGTAGTACGATGGCAAGAGTAAAAACGAAACAAAACGTGGAACAAAAAAATAACCTTAAATCAGCGGTTCTCAACTTATGGGTTGTGATCCCTTTGGGGGGTCAAACGACCCCTTACATAGGAGTCGCCTAAGACCAACGGAAAACACATTTATTAAGAAGCAAAGAAAAGGTTGAGACCCACTGCCTTAAATGTTTACAATTATTTCATTTTTTTCTGCTTAAAAAAAAAAATAAAAAATTTAGATAACTTTTAAAAAGACAACTGAATTCGCAAACCGCTTCTATAGTTATTCAGCCCGGATACTAACATAGCTCAGTGCAATACGAAATGCAGGTATCCGCAAACACAAAATCTAAATTTTTAAAAATAAATTGAACAAAATTATTCGGGTAGGGGTGATTTAGTGCATTTAACTCAAGTACTTCGCCATTACAAAGTTCGTTTTTGCCAAAAATCACTTTTATTTATGTGTAGTATTCTTGTGGGGGGAGGGGGGGCGGCAAATTCAATGCCCGCCCGTGTGGAACAATGTCAAGCTACGCCACTGCTCACATGCATGTTTCTCATTTCTTTTTTCTAATGTGATGTTGAACATGATTAGTAAGTCTCCTTGTATGATAGGGCCCTGTGTTAATCGGCAGCTCCCTCTAGTACTCTCCCTGTAATTTGATTCTTCTCTTGGAGTTAGCCATCGTCAAATGTATAAGCGGGTAAGTTTACAAGGGACACGTTTCATTAGTGCATCATACAGATGTTTGCTGTCTACGCTGTCATAAGCTGCTTTGTTGTCCACGTAGTGTTGGTGTTTGTTGATGATGTGTTCATGACATTTCTCCAGGAGATATCTGACAAAGATACGATCTGCAATGGTTGCTCTATTCTGACGGAATCCACTTTAATAGTTCCCTATAGGATCTGTTCACTAATAAACTTTCCACTATTCTTGCTGTTCGTTTAGTGACGAATGTGTAAGTTATAATAACATTCAGTGAAGTATCCCCTTGTAAACCATGCACAGTAACATCGCAAACCCTTCTGAAACATAGGAGCCAGAATGATCAATCTATTGATCGTGGGCCCTCAAAATATAGAAGAAGAAGGGGATAAGTAGGGAGATTCTTGTGTAATTTGAGTGATCCGGCTTCGATTCTTTCTTGAGAATTGGGATTATGAGCACAGTACCCCATTCTCTTGGCATGTCTTCCTCCTGCCAGATTCTGGATGTGAGGTCGTGTATTTGCCTATATGTTCGTTTCCGCCTAGTTTGATCAGTTCTGCAGTGATAAGGTCTATTGTTCATGGTAAAGATCACATCTCTTATTTCATTCAGTGTTGGTTGGCTGACCAATAGGTCCAATACTCCCTGTCGTTAATGGTAATACTCATTTTCTCCTTCATGGGAGCCATGTAGCATCCTATACTGCACTCGGTAATCTTTGGTTTATTGTGGATGTTACATATTCGCAAGTCTATTAGATATGCTCCGTCGTCATTGGTCTTAACTTTCCTTTCCTACTGCTGGTCGGTAAGCAGAGTTCGTTTCCGATTTTCGCGTTGAAATCTCCAAGGACTATTTCGGTATCACGGCGTGGTGCCTCATCAAATAATCTTTCAAGTTCAAGTGTCTCATCAAAAGTTTCCACAATGCTGTCATCTGCATCATTCGTTGGAGAATGCGCGCCAGTTAACGTTATGTTAAACATTATATTTCCTCTTTCACGTATGGAGCTTAGTCTTTCACTCACTGGTTTGACCTCAATGCCTGCATCTACTGTCTCTCTTTTGACTGCTGTCCCTGTATACCTAAGGTGTTTGTGTCGATTCTGCGGTAGAGTAGTGTATATTCTTTAGTATTTAGTAGATCCGAGTCTTTCCATATTTTCTCTTGCAGTGCAGCCACAGTGTTTCTACTTTTTATCAATTCGTAATTGAAGTGGTCCAGCGCCCCTGCTCTGTGTAGATACAGAACATTTCAGGTCGACATCCATTAATATTTTCCTTGTCCAGGCATATTTCGAAATCCTAAAATATCGTTTTTTTCGTTGTTTTTTTTCGTTTGTGGTTCAGCATTCGTAACATTAGCATTATTTACACGACAGGACGGTCAACCCTGGGCACAACCGTCGGGTGTGTGGTGTCCCGCTACTGCTCTCAGGGTCGATGCCTTTGTTTTGCGTCAGGTCATGAACTTTTGTGTATCCCTCCATTTCATACAAAGCAGTAGGTTCTGATTTTGGTCCGCCCCAGGTATTTTTTCTTGGGGAGGCGGTCGGTGGAAGATCAGTTTCTCCGCAGGAGTTTAGAATTTAACTATCCAAATTGTATGATTTCTTAGGAATTCTTAAGATTCCCCAAAGTGACTTGGCGATAAAATAAAAAATATATCAGGATCAAGAAGATATTTTAAGATCAATTAAAAGTGTTAATTAATGAATATTAATGTTTGTACCATTTACTTTGCATGTAAATTTCCTTGAAATATGCACTTTAAATTGGGGTACGGCTGTAATTTAAAATAAGTAACCTGCGATGATTCAAATTTAAATCAATTTTATAAAAATAATAAAATGTATTGAAAATTGTTGCACCGCCACAGTAATTTTAATTCCTTTCGTTTTAAATTAAAAAAAAAAAAGAAAATTAATTTTAAAATGTTTCGTTGTTTTGTTTTTTTTAACATACATTTTTGCAACTTTTATCCATGACTGCTTTGTTTTTCGTGTTGATTTTCTGAAAGATTAAAAAAATATTTTTTACTGAATACCTTAATCCCCTGTTTCCCACTTTGATTTTTTAAAGGTGTGAGTGGGGGGTCTGGACAGTATTATTTGACACCCTCACATGGGAGTGACACCAATCGCAGATTCGCAAACTCGACAGAGTTCGTTTGAGTCCGTTTCTTTAACAGAAATCAGTTAAATACATGAGAAGGGTTTCACACAAAAAAAAAATATTACCACAACATATATAGCAGGTTGCGATCAGAACAGGATGTTACCAGAGATACGTGGGTACCAGAAGAGCAGGGTGCAACCAGAGGGGGGTCTCTGCCTGGGGGGAGGAGAGGGTTGACAAGAGTTTGTCACCCTGGGTGAAACCATTTACTTAATGCAGTTGTTATTCTCCAACAACGTTAAGCTCCCAAATGCAAAATGTCTCGGCTAACATTCCTCCATTGAAAATAAATTTCAATGTCCCAACTAGAGAGAGAATAAAAGACAGTTGCGACCAGCTACGGGTTTTGTTACCCTACGTGAGAGGAAGGAAGACGGACATGGCCTCCATCCTGGAGATGACGGTGGACTACTTAAAGATTGTCAATGCTGCATTACCCCAGGACTTCCAATCCCAAGTAAAGAATTTCTTTTTTATTCAGTTTGATTTTTTTTTTAATTGTACAATTTAATGAAAATAAAAATTTACGTCTGTATATGAATGAAAAGAATTGATTGTAGAGTAAGATTGATTCTTTGGAAAAAAAGGTGGACACTTGGTTTTACGAGTTTTATCATTATGATCAAGTTTTATAATTTATAGGGCTTTTCTCTACAGATTATTGAGATAATGAGCCATGGTGGGCCTCTCGTTGATGGGAAGAAGAGTGACAAGGAAAGGATGAGTATGGCCTGTAAAAAAATGAGCCGCCTTGAAGCAGCTCCTCTAGATACCGCATCGCCAGTGTTTTGCCCATCTAGGTGAGTCCATGTCCCTAAATCGCCATAATGTTGGCCTTTTTCTTTTAGCCGGGGTGTAAGCTCCCTCCAGGGCGTTGCTGTTCGTGGCCATTTTCTGTCGGCCCATTGGTTGTGTACGGAGTGTGGCGGGTGATGCGGCCTGCCTGGTAGAATCGGGTATCTGGGCAATGAAAGCGTTAATTACTTGCGACAGCTCATTTTCAGCTTAACGCTGGAAGGGATAATGTTGTTGGTTAGGATGATGATGTTGTTTGGGTTAATGTTGTTGGGATAATGTTGTTTTTTGGATAATGTTGTTTTTTGGATAGTTGATTTTTGGGATAGTGTTGTTGGTTGGGATAGTGTTGTTGGTTGGGATAGTGTTGTTGGTTGGGATAATGTTGTTGGTTGGGATAATGTTGTTGGTTGGGATAATGTTGTTGGTTGGGATAATGTTGTTGGTTGGGATAATGTTGTTGGTTGGGATAATGTTGTTGGTTGGGATAATGTTGCTTTTGGGATAATGTTGCTTTTGGGATAATGTTGCTTTTGGGATAACAATGTTTTGGGATAACAATGTTTTGGGATAATGTTGTTTTTGGGATAATGTTGTTTTTGGGATAATGTTGTTTTTGGGATAATGTTGTTTTTGGGATAATGTTGTTTTTGGGATAATGTTGCTTTTGGGATAATGTTGCTTTTGGGATAATGTTGCTTTTGGGATAATGTTGCTTTTGGGATAATGTTGCTTTTGGGATAATGTTGTTGGTTGGGATAATGTTGTTGGTTGGGATAATGTTCTTGGCATGGGGTTTTTTTTTTTGGATAATTTTGTTGGTTGGGATAATGTTGTTGGAAGGGCTAATGTTGTCGGAGGGGCTGATGTTTGTAGGGCTAATGTTGTCGGAAGGGCTAATGTTAGTAGGGGTACTGTTGTTGGAAAGGCTCATGTCGCTGGTTGAGCCCTAAAAATTATTAAGCTACTCTCCTTAAGATGTGCACATTTATGTCCACTGCCACTTGGGAAAGGCATAGGACCTAATCTTACCCCTGCCCAACTGGGGCAAGTAAAAGGGCTCGACGGCCTGACCTGCTGGACGATGGTAAACAAACCAAACACCTTGTTTCTCGCTAGTCAGGGTATTCCATGAGTAAAAAATATCAACGTTCTCCTTGAAGTTGTTGGGTTGTTTTTTGTTGTCTTGTAGTGAACTATTTATTATTGTGGTCAAAGAAACTCATTAAAATAAGTTTAACTCGGATATTTAATTGTCTAGCTTTTATGAAATACCCAACACACACACACACACAAGCTTATGGGCACAGAAGTTTTTAGTCGTAATTTGAACTCGCCATAAATATTTTCCCATTTAGCTTACTTCTCTGTTGACCTAGATTTTATTGGCGATTTTTTTTTTAATGTTTAATTTTCTTCGCCATCGCTGTCCAAAACCCAATAGCAGAAAATCGGAAAGAGCTACCACTGCTGTTGTGGTTCCCGGGCCCCGGTCTGCTTCCAACGCCACTTCCCAAGAGAGCAGCGCCACCACAGGAAATCTGAACAGCCAGTCTGGCGGTGGCCTTAGCAACTTCGAGAACATCAAATCGTGCAACAGCCCCCCTCCTGCCCAGAACGCCCTCAACAATTTGGTGCTAAGAAATGCTAACGGTGCTTCTTTCCTAAAGAGAGGTAAATGTGCGCACAAATGAAAATGGTCATACTGACGGTCAATTATGGGGTAAAGAAGTAAACAAAAATTAACTTTGGTCCCAACAGGTTGACTCGGTACGGTTTGTATCAAGCTTTGCCCCGAATGCCTATGTAAACATTTACAATAAAGTTTATGTGAACGTGGACTTTGTGCAATGATTTTGATGTCATCAAAGTAAAGAAATAAATTAGGTCTGAACACCCCCAAAGACTTACCTCAGTTACCAGGTAGAACCAAAAAAAATAAAACGATTAAATGAGGTCAAACTGGTAAAGCCGAACCAGATTTGAATAAAAGACTTGTAAATTGGAACCAGATTTCAATAAAAGACATTATGTAAAGTGGAACCTGCTATGGGAAACCTATATTTTTAATTTATTTATTTTGAATAAGTTGCCCTTGAAAAAAAAAAATCATTCTGGACATTTTTTTTTTTTAAAGTTTCCCTTTTTTAAGTCATCGAGTTTGTTTGTAGCACCATTTTTGTTGTCCCACGTGACCCTCTCGCTGGTTATTCGCGGCGTCGTCGTACTGATCTGTAAGGGTGCAACTGAGTTGCTGACTTTGCTGAATGTGTGTCTTGTAAATACTATTGGACGGGTCGATTGCACAATAAAGAATTATGTAGCTAAGTCACTTCATCCGGATAATTTGTAAGTTAAAGTTTTAAAAAACTAAATGATTATTTTGTTGAAAATGTACAAAATAAATTAATTAAAACTTAATAATGAAAAATAGAATTTTTTTAAAAATCAAAGGAACTTTTATTTTTAAATATACTTTAAATAAAAAGAAGAGTTTTCAACGAACTGAAAGGTAGAAAATAATTTAAAATTTCTTAAAATCCATTGACAGGTTCGCAAATAAAGTTAATGCAGGAAATATTTTCAAAATTTGTGTTTAAAAATACGTTTCTTAAAAATTTAATTCGAATACTCTGGCTTTCATAGGGTTCCTTACTACCCTTCTGCGTAATGACTTATTAAGAATAAAAGAAATTATATTTTCCTTCGCTAAAAGTTCGTTTCAACTCGTCTTTTCGTGAGTCTTACTTTTTCTCCAGGATTTCATATTATAATAGGCCAAATTAAATTCTCAACCAGTGGATCTGGAATCCATGTATGTTATTTTCTTACATAAATATTCTGACAAACGTATAGTTTCCGTTCCATCGGTCCAACTGTTGCATTAATTATTTATGCTGTATGTACCGCTTGTTACCGCCAGTCTGTAGGGGAGCTACCAGATTCCACACCCTAGTATAAAAGTAGTATGTTTCATCCATTCACTACTAGTCATAAAATGAAAACAAGAAATAATGTATTTCTCTTATCCCATGCAAGCACGGGCCGTGGAGCCAGAAGACGCCGATCCCAAAAGACCGAAATGCACTCTACCGAAGTCTACCGACGCCAGCAATAACCCTGAATACTTACCTGCTGCCGGCGGTTCAATTTTTTGGGACAAAAGAAGAGGTGAAAAAGATTTTTCTTCACAACCATCCGGCAATTTTTATTATTTGGTAGTTTTAAAGTGTTCCATGATTTGTTATTTTATCTTTCTCGGACAAATCTTGCTGGGGACATAAGGCGCATATTTAACCCAAGACTGTTTTCCCTCAGAAAGTATCGGCATAGAAAAAAAGTTCAATCGAAACCGTCGTCAAGTTCAGGGACCATCCATAAACGACGTCACGTTTCTGTGGAAGAAAAAAAAGAACAAAAAGTGTGTGTGGGGAGGGGGGTGTCATAAATTTGTTACTGAGATGAAAGTGTGATTTTTTTAAAAATTACTGGGGGGGGGGGGTGGTAAAAAAATTGTCAAAAATAGTGTTGCGTCCTTTATTGAAGGCTACTGAAATTAAAGTTTTAAAATTACTTTTAAACCCAACCTAAAATGTTAACAAAATACGCGTGGATCAACTGCAAAGAACTCCAATATCGGATTTTATAAAAATTGCTTCCATAGAATTTCCAAAATTTAATTTTGTTCTGAATTTGAATTCATTAATTTCATGCAACACTTATAGTTGAAACGAAGACCCACAATTCGTCATTTCATAACCCAGAGCCGTCGCGTGGGTCCGGCAACCCCCGCGGCTGTATAGGGCATTGAATATTTAAGAGGCCCTTCGTTTGTTGTGATGTGAAAAAAAAACGTATAAATTAAATGCAGGGCGGTAAAAACTGAAATGTGGCAGGTAGCCTCCAAAAGTCACATGACGGCTCTGCATGTAAAAATTCTGTTAAACTCTCCTTTTCATTTTATTCAATAGACCCAGCTTATGATGAACAGTCCCCGCGTGACATGAGACCACACATCACAGGGCTTCAGTTGACTCACACATTGACAGATGGTGACAACCCGGCTGCAGCCAATCGGATGTTCCCGGTCGGTCACGTGCCTAACCCCGACCAATATCCATACCAGCATCACCCTCAAATAAACCAGTCCACCCCCCAAGTTCGCGTGCCCCCCTGTGACCGGGACGCGGCTCCTTATGGGAACCTCTACTTTGACGGCTATTATCACAGCTTCTATCCGTCCTTCTCTGAGCCTAGTAATCCCGGGTATTGCGCCACGGGTCCGGGCAACGAGTATGTCAATCCGAATGCGGTACTCCCGGTGACGCCATTCAATCCTAGGGTCAACTGCTATCCTCCAGGAAACAAACAGGAGCGCTCCCCTGCAGAATTGGATCGCTTCCGGGGCAGCGAAAAGTGTTGACGCATTCAATGTGCGCCTCGGGGACACATCTTTCGTTAGCGACAAGTGTTAACTTTCCCATTGAATTGAACTCCTCATGCAGTTTTATCCTGAGATTGGTCTCTTCAAAGATAATATAAATATAATTGTTTTGGTAAATCTATTTTTGTTTTAACTTGTAAGGAATACAAGTTGGTACATGGTTCAATCTTTGGTTTAGAATATAAAACAAAAAACATTTGTTTTCTCGGTGATAATATAGTGTATCACTCTTATTAAGTGACCAAAGTGAATGTCTACTAAAGAATGGCAAGTTAATCTCATTATTTTAGTGTAAAATTTTCTTGTTTAACCTTTTTTGTTTTATACTGACAATAAGATATTTTAGAGCTAGGAATGTTGGTTATTTTAGTTATTGATCAGCCTCTGTTTAGAGGCCTGAAATTTAATTGCAGTAATTTAATCATTTTTGTGTTGAATTAAATACTGAGTTAATCTATTCCATGTTTCTGTGTTATTTCCCCAACAATGGCCCTCTTGTATAAAAAAAATAAAAACATTCTCAACATAATGCTCAAATATCAAAAGGTTAACAATGCCACAACGTGACTGATTTGAAGCTTTGTCGAAAAGGGTGGGGCAGCAGTGACGTACATTTACATAATGTCACCTGATGCTAACACACACATCTTGCATGCGCTGTATTTTATAATTATGTAGGTGTGAAAGAAAATATGGTGGCAATTGTGATTTCAATAGAGGGCAAAATCAAATTTCCAATAAATGTGCTAAGACTGACTCTTTAAATTACCATAAGGACGTTTGGTGCGTAATCTATTTTATTCTGTTTTACGGAAATATCAACTAGTAGAGTCCTGCATTCGGTGGTATAAATTGCTCTCTCAGTTGACAGCATAAGTACCCAAGAGATAGCAGTATGATAAAATCGTCATCCAGGGCCATGTCCCTTTTGTAAAAGCAAATCTGAATGGACCATTCGAACGTCCCCGCGCGGGAATGCTGCGTGGTGCGTCCATCTTCTGACTGATGTGTAAGTTGTGTCTTGGGGAATTTCCCTATGGAACGCAACACGCGCCAGCTCGGTAAACCTTTTCACATTCCAAACACTTTCCTCTGACCACCTGGATGTATTTCACCACTTATGACAAACATAATATTGCTACAATAATTTAAATATAGTGTAATCAATCTGCGGTGTAAAAGGGTGCATGGGGCATTAGAATATTGACATATTTCAGGTTAATGAAAAGAGTGTTCGATAAAATACAGGGGTGAGGCGTCAGCACTAACTGGGATTTCTTATAAAGTGCGTTACCTGAATGTATTTTTTTTTTCAAGTAACTTTAGTAGATAAGTTCACACAATGTCGCCGCAATATTAAACTTCACAAAGTGCCTATCTGTGCTGTCGTCTGCTTCGTACGCCTCTTGGCAGAGGCAAAAAGTAAAATCAGCTAATTGGGTCAGTTAATAGGTGAACACAAATTTTAATGTACAATTAAATTTCTAAACTATGCCTTTGCCATTGTATGCTTGTAATCGGTTTTTGTAGTGTTGCGTTTGTTTTAAATGTGGTAAATATAGATTTTTTTTGTTGTTGACTTTGTACCGCGCTTCGAGCCTTTGGGGATGAAGCATGTTTTTGAATTAACTTTATTATTATTATTATTATTATTATTATTATTATCACTGGGTAAGTTAAATTAAAGACTATTCAAAATAGTGACTGGCGAAGGTTGGAGGGGAGGGGGGGCGGGGACAGGTAACTTCTGGTTGGCAGTGGCGAGCAGTGGCTGAATTCCGCCCGGGGTGAACTCCCAAAATTGCACCCCCATCCTTACAGTAAATTTTCAGAATAATCAGTTTAGCAGTTGTATTTTTTTTTATGCCTCATCAGTCCTTTGCATTTATGAACAAACTTCTAAGCTTTAGATCAAAGCCTCAAACTTGCGAATGAACAAACTCAACAAATAAGTGAATTCAACTGTATTTGAAATTTTAAAAATAATATTTTAAACAAAAAATTGGAATAGAAAGAATGATGGGCGATATATACGTGACAGAGGCAGAGCAGTGTTACCTTCAATTTGTTCTGTAACTGTAGGGCATTTCAAATTTTCGGGTGGGCACTGCAGTGGCCTTGGCAGGGAGGATGGAGAGGAATTCGAATACGTGGGGGGGTATTCATTTTATAGAGGGTGGCATTTTCGGCCTACTGCAGAGTGCCATAGTGGATGGGCGGAAAAAATCTTTTCCCGCCCATGGTGGTACTAAGTAAGTCTTACTCTAACTGTGCAACTGTTGTAGCACCAGAGTTAGACACAAGGCTATCAGGATAAACTGTAACTCCACCCCTTCGCCCAACATGAACTCTTTATGGCACCCTTTATGGTGGCACCCTACTCTTGTTTAAACTAAGATCTGTTAAGAAACAGACTGGAACGAGTTCTTTCAATTTCGTAATCTTCCATTCCGTGTAACCCAGTGCCCACCTCTGCCCCTCCTAATCACGATACTGGTCATGATTTACTGCGATTCTATTGGTGCGTTTTCTCTCAATAATAACACCTCCGACTTTGCTATAATATCTTCAACAGGTAACAGGACATTTCGCCCCCACCCTTGGGCTTAGGTTCGCAAATGCTGATTGGATACATGGTTTTATCTATAGCCTTGCTTTCGTCATGCCTGAAGTATTATTATTTCTATGTTGTCCGCTGCATAATTATGTCACTGTCCTTTTTATTATTTAATCACTGGGTGAGGTCAAGTTTCGCTAATCTACTTCTAATCCTGTGTAAAAAGATTGCATAATCGGAAGATTATCTAAAACTTGACCACACCTATTGTAAATGAAAAAGCAGCAGAAAAATTATATGTATTATATTATTGTCTAATCTAATTTTTGCAAATTTTTGTTTTGAAATTCAATCTAGATTGAGTTACTGCTTCAATGAATAAATGTGACAACTGTTGACAATTAACTATTCTACTATTAAAGTCATTTTAATAATGTGATAGTTCTTTTAATTGTAAATTTTATATTTTAATACTGTTTAAAAGTGAAATGTGTTTTAGATTAAATTTTAATTAGGTGTTAATTTTTTTTTAATTTGTTCGAAAGTGTGACGTACTTTGGGGGTGGTCGAGATTTGTGACAGTTTGTGACATGGGGGAGGGGGGGGTAAAAATTGTCAAAAAAAAGCGTGACGTACTTTATGGACGGCCCCAAAGCTGTAAGTTAGGTCAAGTTACACTCACTGGTGCCTTCAACATGCTTTGTATTCATTGTATTTACATAACTTTGCCCCACCCCCTGAAAAAACTTCTGCTGACGCCCATGGTTGGAAATTGATAAAATTATCCATGGCCTATTTACTTTCACGACGGGAAATGTGTATTTCCATTATTTGTATTCATCCATATTATTAGATTAAAGTCCTTTATTTTAGAATCTTACCTACATGACGAGATCAGAGTTTAGGTCTTTTGGACGGTCCGTGAATGAAAATTCAAGCCAAGACGATCATGGAGAAGAATGTAACTTTGAAATTTGTATAGTAATTTGTTGCAGCTATCTCCCTTATACCTTTAAAATAACGAGCATTTCCGATTTCTTTCGGCTGTTTCCGGGACAGCCCAGCAACCAAAAAATATAGTGCAAACTTTTCAATTACATATGTATTTACTTTTACCGTATTCATTTACTTATAAACAATTTATTTGTTTAATTTAATTAATTTACTATCCTTTTGAGATCAAGAATATTAGGATTAAAGCTCGGTAAACTGCGCATAAATACAATATTTATTCTTTCCGCCATCTTTAAACAATATGGACGCCATCGACTTTTGCTCAACCTCCCTAATAATGTAAACATTCTAGTTTGGATTAACAGGGCAATGTTGCCATTCCAGACGCTTGTGACTTGTATAAATAGTAAGAGCTAAATTTAAATCTTAAAAATGTATAGTTAGAAGCAGTGATTTATTTCTATTGACTGCGCTAAGCCTAAGGTATATTAAGACTAAGACGTTAATTAATTAAATTTTAAGGCAAGCGAAAGTGAACTGGCCAAGTGAAGTGAAAAGTCTTAAAAACTATATTAGTAGTAAATAATAATTAGCCAAAGTCTTATTTAAATCAGAAGGAAAAAAATAAAGAGTTTCTAGTTGGTAAAGAATAGCTACAAATCTTTTAAGATTAAGACTACAGTTAAAGCATGGATGCAGACTATACTCTTAAAAACTTCTAGATTCCTAATATTAACATAATATTTATTAGGCCTAAGCTTAATAAAATATAATAATAATAATAATAAACTTATATTATATTTATAATAATTATAGGCTTGTCAAGGGGTGGGAAAACTATGGCCAGCGGGCTGCCCAGCAACTGATATTATGCGGCCCTCAAAGGCCTTTAGACTTTAGAAATTTTTAAAAATTACTTTTTTTAAAATTTCTTTTGTTGAATTTTACAGAATATCATGACCCGTTATTATTGTTTTAACATTTTTGATCAACTTTCTTTCAAATTTTCTATTTTTTTAAACAATCCTTGACTTTTCTCATGTAATGCTAAAATGCGACTTTGCCGATTTTAATATAAAGAAATGTTTATCGACATGTAAAAATGGGACATGACCAATGTTCCCTCTAAGGTTTGCTAGTTTGTGTGCAAAATCATAAAGTTGTGTGCAAAGTTTTACAGCATCAATATTTTTTGTGTGCAAAATTTTACAGACCACAAACACACAATTACATGGAAATTTGCTGCGCATGTACTCAAAAGTGCTGCGTGGCGTCTGTGAGTGAGCTGTGCAGCCGTGCAGCTTAAAGGGAACATTGGACATGACATGACTTAATAATAATATACATGGGGCCCCCTAATAGCTTTACATTTGTCAATGTAGCCTCCGCACAAAAAGTTTGCCCACCCCTG